AAACAATATTTCTTTACTACGCGGGTTCCGGGAGGGAATTCAGCAAAATTTTAAATAAATTCAAAATATATTTGATTGTGACGATGTTTGACAGGTCATTACACGAATAATGGAAGTGTACTTCGAAAAATCAATTCGTTGTCTGCATAAAATCTGTGAAAGTAGCATTTTGGATCAATTTGTCAAATCCACTCTGTTTCAAATTCAAACTTGGAGAGCGTGCAAATGTTCCTATTGTAAAAAAATATATGAATGGTCAATGAAGAAATTTGATTATTTGAATGAAAGAACTATGACGTAAAAATTATACTCCGAAATAGTAGCAAAAATAAGGAAATTATCCATAACTTGACAACGCCGCAGCCGATTATGATTTTTTTTCAGCGATAAAAAGGTGAAAGATGTCGGAATGAATTTGTAAAAAAAAATACAGGGTGTTCCATTTGAAAAATTCTAATGAATGCCATCTGAATCTTGCGAAATTCTAAATGCGAAATAGAGCACCCTGTTGAAAAACATGTCGCAAAATTACTGAATTTGTATACGTGAGACCTTGCTACTACCGTATGCCAAAAATATTTTCATAATTTGAATAAATGAATATACCATGCCCAATTCAACATGACTCTTCAATAGTGGTAAAAGTAGATTTATCAATTATAACTTGGCAACGCCGTAACCGATTTCAATTTTTTTTACAGCGATGTGAAGGTAAACCTCGGCGGAATAAATTCCGAATAAACAATACACGGTGTTTCATTTAAAAAAACTCGTCTCCGAGTCATCTCGCTTTTATAAAACACCCAGTAATGTTGAAAATAGTTTTGAAATAAGCAACTTGAGTAACTGAAGAAGTTTTTCCTTCAAAGTTTTTTTCTATAGGTTATGGCTTTGGAGATATCGAAGAATTACGCACTAAATGGTCACACTGTAGAATAATAATTTAATTAGTAGATTTGCATCAAAATATTATTCCGCACTGGTCTGTTTAGTGAAACGTGCGTAGTCAAAGATGCATCTGAGGAAGGACTGCTCCATCTCCTTTCATTGTATTCATGTGCTTCAAAATTAACAAATTTATGGTTATTCGTAACGCAAAATATTAATCATTCTAATGCCTTTTTTGTGAACTATTGATTTGAACTAATCGAATTGGTGATAAGAAAACCTAGTGTAATTTGAACCAAATCAAATGACTTCACGACCAATATTTTCTGTATTTGTCTTTCAGTGTCTTGCCATTATTGGGTGGAACTGATGGAATATTTTTGCACTCATTGCATATTAATGCTCTCTTTTTGCAGGTGTAACACTGAGATAAACAACATATACTGAGGGCAGAAACATTTCATCAGTTCCTTCCCAATGGAATTCGGTGTGCATGTGGCATGTGGTTCGGAATTAACATATTCGATGTTATTTGTAACGCAAAATATTTTCATTCTAATATGCCTTCATTTTCTGGAATAACGATGAGAATAGAACTGGTGATTAAAAAACTAGTATAATTTGTACCAAATCAAATGGTTTCACGACCGCTATTTTCGGTAGTTGTTTTACAGTGTCTTGTCAGTATTGGGTGGAACTGGTGGATTGTTTCTGCACTCTATACAGTGTGTCCCACTCACCATGCTCACCATGGGTATCTTTTTAACGGTGAGAGATACGAGGTCGGTTAAATGACATCAAATGTGGAGTTTGTCAAGGCCAACTATAATATGAAAAAATATTTTGATAAAATCTATTCGTTTTTGTTTTATACCCAAAATACACATTTTGATCATTTTCATGTCTCCTCCCTAACTTCTCTATCTATGAAAATATTCAAATAGGAATTTCACATTCTCATGGCAGATTTTCAAAGTGATTTCGAAAAGAATATGAAATTTATACCAACTCTTCTAGAATTTGAGATACCAGCACCAACTTTAGTTTTTCTAATGTAGGTCATAGCTCACTATGACTTAGTTGCAAATAACTTTTTTTTCTCTTAAAGATGATATGTCGCAGTAATAGTTTTGTGTTGATAACAACGGAGTTATCGTCATTTGAACAAGAACAAAAAATTATTTGGAAGCCGCCATCTTGACTTTATGAATTTTAACAAAAAAATCATGATCTCTCACCTCAAAAACCCCCACTCACCAATTTTGAATGGAATCGGACCAAATCTTGTCCGCCATCTTGGAGCAGCCATTTTTTTTAATTTCAACAAAAATCCCATAATGTATTGTCACCGAAATTATGAACACCTGCCAAATTTCAAGTTTATCGGAGTTATGGAATTTTTGTTGAAATTAAAAAAAATGGCTGCTCCAAGATGGCGGACAAGATTTGGTCCGATGCCATTCAAAATTGGTAAGTGGGGGGTTTTTGAGGTCGAAGATCATGATTTTTTTGTTGAAATTTATGGATTCAAGATGGCGGCTTCTAAATAATTTTTTGTATAAATGACGATAACTCCGTCGTTATCAACACAAAACTATTACTGCGACATATCATCTTTAAGAGAAAAAAAAGTTATTTGCAACTAAGTCATGGTGAGCTATGACCTACATTTGAAAAACTGAAGTTGGTGCTGTTATCTCAAATTCTAGAAGAGTTGGTATAAATTTCATATTTTTTTCGAAATCACTTCGAAAAACTACCATGAGAATGTGAAATTCCTATTTGAATATTTTCATAATTAAAGAAGTTACGGAGGAGACATGAAAATGATCAAAATCTGTTTTTTGCGTATAAAACAAAAACGAATAGATTTTATCAAAATATTTTTTCACATTACAGTTGGCCTTGACAAACTCCACATTTGGTGTCATTTAACCGACCTCGTATCTCTCACCGTTAAAAAGATACCCATGGTGAGCATGGTAAGTGGGACACACTGTATATATCCATCCACTTGTTTTCAAGTGTTTAACAAAGGCAAATATAGACTGATTGCAGAAAAACTCCATGAGGTCTTTCCCAAAGGAATTCGGTATAAGAACGTTTTTTATACATTATATCATATTGCTCCTTATTTGTAATGAAAGTCTATTTGCAAATAAAATATTGAAAATTTCACATTTGAAAATATCGCCTATTGAAATGTCACTCAGGTATGCATCATCTTGAGCAAATTTATCAGAATATGTCCGAAAGTAGCGAATGTTGTTATGTCAATGTGGTATTATGTATTTTGGAAATTTGATCACCAGTTCATTTTCAATTCTTGCTGAAACCTCAGAGCATTGAAATATTTAGAAATGCCTTCTCTATCCTTATTTTTTGTATCTTCTCTTTGAATACTAAGATTAGGGAAGGAGAGTGACTGCTTTTTTTTATAAACATGTTTTTTTTAAATTCGACATCGCTAGACTTTAATGGGCGACTGGACTGATAATGAATTATTGGCATTCAATTATTCCACTGTGTCGTAACAAAATATCATGTAAATATTGAAGACTTGGCAAGAATGTACGGAATGCTGAGAACTGACAAGACACCGCCCACAATTCATGCGCCGTGTTGTCACGTTCACCGGTTCAAATATCCTCTAGTGTGAATCAATATAGTAATTATTATTGAAAAGGAAAAATTGTTATACAGGGTGTTCCTTAAAGACATGCTAATATTTGAGGGGGTGATACTTTGACTCATTTTCAGAAGTAAACTCCATATGAACGTATGTCCTAAAAGTCTTGACTTTTGAGATACAGGGTGATGAAGTTTTGAAAAATATTCAGATTTTTTATGATAAATGAGGCAATATTGTTTATATCTTTATAAAATTTGGTACACATATTTCATTCATCAAGGTGCATTTTCTGATGTACAAAAATTTGCAATTTCTCTACCAGTGGCACCGGTACGGGAATATTATTGTTTATATTTTACGCAAAAGTTAGCAACGACGGACAATTTTCAAATTTCGTACAATGCTATGAAAGGGTATTCAATTATGTACAAAAAAATCCTCTTTGGTACTCGACAAAACGCTTCGTTTTAGAGAAAAAAACGAAAAAACGAGACCAGACTTGAAATTTTTATGTCTGAGTACTCCAGCAAAGAAGTACTCCATTCAGGACACCCATTACTGGATAACCACAGTATGTAACATTTTGAAATTTTGCCATCATGAAAAGATACAGGGTGGATAAAGAAATAATCTGCATATTTTCAACATTGACACTCTCTATCTCAGAAGTTGGGACGTTTACGAGATACATTCATATGAAGTTTAAATCTTGAAATGGGTCGAATAATCGGCCCCTTGAATATTAGCATATCATTAAGGAACATCCTGTATATATAGAGACATACATTGAGAATTCGCATTCTCTATGTGATGGAAATATTTATCCTTCCTCGGTATGTTCAACAGAAAACAACTACTTTCCTGGCTATTTGCCACGACGAGCAACTATTGAACACACACGATAAGAATTCAAAAATAACATCTTCTGAAGTTGAGAATTTGCATTCTCCTTCATATCAAAATATATATGCACAACGCACAACATATCATCATTCTTATTATGCAACTGAAAACAACTACTTTCCTGGTTATTTGCCACGTCTAAAATTGAAATATATCTGTTGAACATTCAAAAAAAGAACATGAAAATAAAAATCCTCTAGCCGTTTCAGAATTACCGTGGCATTATTGATGATTTTCGCACCATGAAATCGATCTAAAAATTCTAAAAAAATATGACATTGAAAGTAACATGAGTGATGATTCCATTTAAGAAATAAAAAAAAAATGGTCCACTCGCCTATTCTGAGCGGTTCTTGATATGGTTAAGATCAGTTCACATCTGGTTTTCCATTTTGGTTTTGTAATATGTAAATACTCATTCACCCTCCTCCACCATTGCTCCACACATTTTTTTTTTTTTTTTAAGCCACGAAACCAGTAAAAGAATAACATTGTGCAGTATTCGAACATCGAGGGCATCTCTAAATATTTCTTTGCTATTTTAATGCCGAAACTCACGAATTTTCTTCCCACGCAGTTGGTCGACCGCCCGGCTCCAAGAAGAACCGCCTCGGCCTCGAAGCAAAATGGGCCCAAGAGATCGCTCAAGGTAACCCGAACAATCCCTCCTCGCCTAGCCCCCCACCACCATACCCCACCACTCACACCCCTGACACATCGTCCACCGATAGCTCCCAACCCGACAAACAACCACAACCACCCAAACAACCACAACCACTCAAACCGACCGCCGACACCACCAACGTTAGGAAAATCAGGACGCTAAAGCCGGTCATCGGGCCAGACAAAGCGACCACACCGACGTCGCCGGTGAAAAATCCACCGTCGACGCAACAAGGTTAGTATTTTATAAATGTTGTATAGCAAGGTAGATACAGCGATTCATTCATATTTCATTGAAAAGTGTATGCCAATAATCCTAAACGCCAAACGCGGATATATGAATGAAAACGCGAATGGTGGGGATAACTCTGCGGAAATACAGGCTGAGTCATGACTAACCAGCCATAGCCTAATGGTAGATAGAGGAAGTCAAGGTGAGTTGATATATATGTGAGAAAATATATGTTGCCTATTAGTAACAGAAATGCAGAGCATTATTTGAATTCGGGGCGAAACTTTGATGAACGATATTCCAGGAACGTCTCGATGTTATCGCCTAAAATTCACCAGCAACTTACATCTACTGATACACCACACGATGGACTACTATGGAGAAAAAACTTCAGGATCCTTATCCAACGAATACGTAAGATACAGGGGTGTTTCCATTAAAAGTGAGACACTTTGTACATATATCGTGGCGTCTAGAGGAATCATGTTGTGAGAAGGGGTATATAAAACGATAGCATCATTGAGAAGTCAAGGCAACTAATATACAGGGTGTCCTAGAACAACGTACCATAAAATCTACAGGGTGAACTAGAGACCAAAATAGTCCGATAGGTATTTCGCATTCTCTTTGATGACAATTGATATAACTTTTTTTTGGCGTATGCCACTGACTACATTTCAATATTTCAATGACAGTGAAAAGCCCTGTATAGTTTTGATGACGGACCTGCAACTAAGTCTGGAACAAAGAACGATATGAAATACTCCTTCTAAATGTGATACTCACGTATACTGAATAGGAAGTTATAAAATTGATAAATCTCGTCTGATTCCAATTTTGTACCCCAAAATGAGCAAAAATAATATTTTGAGCACATAATATGAATAGTTATAATCGTCTGTGCACGAATAAAAAGCACATCGTTGAATAGAAATTTTGATGTTCTTTTCAGATATGGCAAAAAATGAGAAATTCGAATGTATAGGGTGTTGTTTTCTGGCAGAAAGAATTTGTGAATTTTAAGTGAAGCCGGACCTGGATTTTATCTTTTGTCGTTGCCTCAATCAATTCCACAGGATAGATTGAGCAAGTGTACCAATTTTTGAAAATATATACAGGTTGGTTGGAAAGTTATGAGACAATGAAGATATGGACAAAATTGATGAAACATCCTGTATCTCGGTTATAAGAAGTCGAAGACACATCAACCATGGGGTTTTTGAAATCACCTCAGTGACCCTATCCACAGTTGAATTATTCACCTTTCCCAATTAAACACCCTGTATAAATGTGCATTGACGTGTCAAGCGTCACTGCAATAATTATACCTGTGGGTACAAGTGCCATAAATATGAATTCAATTTTTTTTTCGAATTTTGCTCAAATTTGAATGTATCTAAAATGTATTTGCTAGGGACAACTTATTCACTAATTCTTGACATTTTTATGTAAATGATCCTAACATGTTCCTTATGACTTTGATATTTATTTTCAGAGGCTACTTTTCGATAATACTTTCTCAACTAAAAATTTCCATAACTTTTCACCGGGAAAAGATACATTTTCCTCCACAAAGTTTGGTTAGAAGAATGAAATCTATTCCAATTTTACAAAATGTAGGCATATTTCCAGGGAAAAAATCCAATTACGTCATTGCTTTATTTTCCAAATGTGAAAAAATTTGCAAATTTGTCTTGAAATTGACCTTATATTATTGAATCCTATTTGAGAGCCAATGTTGAGATTTCTTTGTCGATTCTTAAGTTTAGCTCACTCTGTACGTTTAAACAAATAAGTATTATTTTTGATCCTTGATACCTCGCCTAATATTGACCTGTCATTATATTTTCGTATGGTCTAGAGGTTGACAAAAACAAACAAACGTGTACATATTTTTAATATAGATGATTAATCTCCATCGTAAAATGAAATGTTCGTCAGTGAAATTGTCTACGGAAGAATATAAAGTAAGCTTCACTTTTCATCGTTGCTTCAACAATATTTTGAAAAATCCGTAATACGGAGTGATTTCTTGAGGATGGTTGAAATTTCCGTTTTCGTTAATGCCTTTGTGATTTCGGCAGATGTTGGAGAGTACAATTTTTGTCTTGATCATTTAAGACAGTGGTGTTCAAACAGTCGATCACGAGATCTGTTGGATTCGATCACTAAAAAATAAATAAAAATGAGATATACATATCAAGCCAGAGCAACTGATTCTAAATTTCATACTTTTGTATCCGAAAACAAATGTCCGTGGTGTTTAAAAGGGTCGTTTTCGTGATAATAGCCAGTTCGAATCTGACCTGGGATGATAAATAGTTCTAACATTCAATTATACAAAAAGATAACATACAATTTCGGAACATCAGCAAAGGAAAGTCCTGTTAGATTCACTATTACTTTCTAACTAACGATGCTGCCCCAAAAGTGGAGTATGGAGTTTGTAATAATGCCTACACATGACACATTCAGAACCTTACTATACTACTGCTACGACTACTACCATGACTACTACCACTACTGATACTACTACTATCTACTAGTGTTTTCAAACACTTATTCGAGGTATACAAGTACAGTTACTACAGTTTTCCCAGTTGTATTGACCACCCATTTTAATGCGCCATCACTTATCCATACCTGTTAAGGAGATACGAAGTAGTTAGTTATTTTTCAGAAAGTGTCAATTGTAATTCACCATGGGGTATTTTGGTAACAAATTATTTTGCGAATCAAATATAATGTTCTGATTCCCGATGAAATAATCATTCAAAAACCGAATTTCGTTGTGTTTGTCAGAGTAGTTCCGAAGTTGTGGATAATAGAGCTCGTTTATCAAAAACAACCCCGTTATTTCTTTGTTCATTACATTTTCAAATTTACATTTTTCGTGTTATAAAAAAATCATCGTTAAATTATTCAACAGAAAACAACTACTTTCCTGGGTTATACCACAAAATATTGAATTATATCTGCAAACTAAAATTGTATGCGTGAGTGTTTTTTTATTGTTGAAAATAATATTGTACTTTTTTCAGCTAGAATGCAGGCTTATGGGATGAACAGGGCAATAGTACCACCTCATAGTAGTTCCTTGTCAACATTGCTTCAAGGGGGGATTAAGACTATTCCGCCATCTCAGCCTAAATCTTCGTCATCTGGAATCAAAGGTACAAAGAGACACTTTTTTTCAGAATACAAACAAAATAATCTGATACTAGAGAGAGGTTGACTGATTTTGGAGATTTTTCTATCTATAACATTCCAAATCGAATAAAAAAAATAAAAATATTTTTCGTGCATTCGCACGCGCAGACAGTTTTTCGCAGTCTTGAGACAGTAGTGAAATTTCGCCGCCTCCAAACCAGACGTCACTTGCGAATTTGACATTACTGAAATACGACAATAGCAAGGTTATGATCAATGTCAGTTTTGTCGAAATATTTTATATATTTTCAAACATGTCATTTCCATAACAATACTGTGACTTTGGTAATTAAATTGATCTGCTGTTGCTATTTGAAAGCAATGATATTAGTCCAATCAAGATGGTCCGGTCATTCTGATTTTTTTATATGTTGTTAGGACCTAAACCGATATTAAAAAAACCAGATTTGCAATTTCAAGGTCTGTGCGAGCGACGGTATACCCAAAAAACCATGAAATGTTCGGACTTCTTTCAGTTTTCGCTCAATATCTTAGAGAAGAGAGGGTTTGACCGCTATAGTCACCCTATAAACTTTTGAAGATACTAGTCTTATCTCTAATGAAAGCTAATTAAATTTACTACAACTTCATTCCACATTATTGTTGACGTGGGAAGCGTATTTTAGAAGATAATTCACAGAATAGGTGACCATTTCGAAGAAATTTCACTTATTCAAAAAATTGCGTATTTTCAAGAAACTGTATCTTGGGAACCAATAGCTGTTGTATAGGACTCATCTTAGCCTCAAATTATAGCAAATTTAGTTTAATTCAAAAGTATAGATGGTGACTATACCGGTCAAACCCTTCCTTTTTATTGATATTGAGCGAAAACTGAAAAAAGTCCGAAAATTTCATTGTTTTTTGGGTATACCTTCGCTCGCACTGCATTTTGGAAATTGCAATTTTTTAATATTGGTTTAGGCCCTAACAACATATAAAAAATTCAGAACGACCGGACCTTTTGCAAGCACGACCCCATTTTTATGTTTAATTTTACTGAACTATATATTTATTGGCAGTTCTACTTGACGATTGCACGAAAAATAAGGTATATGAAGTAGTGAATGCGAAGTTTGAGAACTGTGTCCAAGGAAATGTTGAAATATTTATTGCCAGGTGTAGATGGATCCATCATGGAAGGCGATATTACTACTTTCGCCAGTACTAGCAGCAATATCGGGACATGATCACTATTCACGTTTTCCTAATTTATATTATGAGTTGTGAATATACAGTGAATTTCTTAATCCTATGTACGTATTGAAAAAGGTGAATCCTTGGCTTATCATGAGACTAAAGATGTTAACTTGCTCTATTTTCGAGATACAGGGTGTTGGAAGTTGAAATATTGATTGTTTGTTTTCCATAATAACTCATTATTATCAATTATAATGGAAGAATGAAGAATGGTCGTTGCAGCTGACACATTCTCAACATTTCAAATAGATATTAATTATCATTATCTACCAATTCGAGTCCTAATCAGGTTTTTTTTTTCAAAAACCGTGCTTTCTACCAAAAGAGACTTCTTTGAACCAAATTGGAAGTTGAAAATGTACAAAGCCACAAGCAAAGCAATCACAATAATTATTATGATGAATACTTTCTGTAGGTTAATCGAGGAGGTGGTACATTTCTTTTGCTTGATTATTTGGGATTTTCCCTCCTCGTTTCTTTCAAATAAAAATAAAAATATTATTTCAATATACATGTAGCAGGACAAATCAGATGATTTGCCCCAAAATACCACTGCGTTTAAAAAATTATCTATCAGCGAAGAAAAATCCAATCCTCTCAACTCTAGTTTTTTCACTATAGTGGAAAATGGATGGACAAAATAAATTAAGAAAAAAGATTTCGATTGAGAAAAACGAGAGAGAGAAGGAAAAGAGATAAATTTCAGTATTGCTGAAAAAACTAATTTCGTGGACTTGGTCGAAGCTCGAAATCGTATAAGTAATCTCTCTCTCGTATCCAACAGGGACACCACACCAAAAGTTGTTTATCTTCGTAGTCTTCGAAAGCAAGATCATGATATGATCGATGTAGAGCTGCCATTAATAATACCTATATCAAAAAAATCGCATATAACCATACCATAATCATGCTATAGTCATACAATACATAACCTTGCGTTTCTTTATACATGACAGATAACGCGCGATCATTTCCGTTACTGGTGAAAAATTGCCAGTCAAGATATAGTCTCGATTAATCGAGTTAATCGGTGATTCTGGTAAGGTGAAACGATTTGAATTCGCCATGGCGAATACATTTTTCAGTCAACATCAAAACCGAGATTAAATCAGTTGGTGAAACCGAGCCTAATAGGAAATAAAGAAATTGTGGACTTGAGAAAAGTCCTGAGAGCTAAATCATTGGACCCAGAGGATTGAACCCATGGGAACATTTGAGCAGAAACTCAATACCAATTATATATGTAAATTTCAGGCAAATCCCACTTAGGGCCAATTTCCCATATGCGTTTGTGCAGGGACATACAAACCTAGACATTTTCTGAACCTCATTACGTTGAGATTGACATGAGTGCAAATATTTCGAACCCTGAGAAAGAAAATGAAAAAATGTGTGGTCATAATAAATTTTGGGGCTAGACCCCTATTTCCACCCACAGTTCTACCCTGTAGCAATTTTGATATCACCTCTGTCCACATTTTCATGCGGAGGCGACAATCACGCGGAGTTCAATCATTTAAATTATTTTAAAGTAGCGTACTTGATTTCTTTTTCGTCTTTGTTCAATTTCCGGGATGGAATTTTTCGCTAATTAGAAGAATTATAAAAAATCATCGGAATATTCGTTAGACTGTATCTATTCTATTCTATCATATAGGTGTGCTGAATATATGCACTCATTTCAAAAACATCTCATATGAACTCAAATATGTTGTTTTATTCATTTTGCCAGGAATGCATTGAAAATATCCAACATAGCTTTTGATGAAAAAATACAGTCCATAGTTATGGGACTAAACAATTCAATTACTTGCTACAAAATACATTCAAGTCGAAGATTGAAATACAATTTGTAATAATTTTATAAAAAATATATATGATTCAAAATCAATCTCAAAAAATACCTGCTCAGGACAATTTGATAGTAAAATAATATGTGGCATAAATTGATTACTCAGTATTGAAATGTTATAACCCTCATCTTAAGAAGAATATGAATTTGTTTCCACTGAGTGGAATTCATTTGCTAACGTGTTGTCAGCAGACCAAGAGCGGCTGATGAGACCTGGTGGGTCGAAACAGTACTGTCTCGCTCCTGCTGACAGTTGGGGCAACTCTGTTCATCCTGGATCTCTTAATTATGAGATCTAGCAGTTGAATAGGTGGTGGAAAAATTCCACTCAAGTATGTCAGGTAGTGCCATCTGTCAGCAGAGTGGTTTACTTGTAGTACCACTCTGTAGCGTATAGACGTAGGGGTTTGTACGCGTGACTATAGATGGCAGCACCATACTGTGTGTGTCCCGATCTCTGGATCCTAACTTAGAGCTTTGCCACTAGATGGCTACAACATGACTATAGCTTCATGTTATACCCTGCGTAACCTGTTATTATAATGTTTTTTTATGTGTATACACGTATCCCTATTACAAACAGATATGTTTCTTGGGGTAATAAAGACAATCAAAGATTGTTTGTACCTCAATTTTCCACCCGGTGTTTCGAGAAGAAAGCAAGTTATGAAATATGTTATGATTTTTTTAGTCCTGAAATGAGACAGGAAAATAGCATTTAGGAACACTATTTATATAGTGATGGTACAATTGTTAGGAACTATGAGTTACTTATTATAACTATCAACAATGTTCAGATGAATTTATTCAATTGCATTATTGTTCTGTATGAGTAGTACTTTTAATATGGTTTCAAGTGGATTTTCTTATTATCATTCTTGACTTCTTACACATTCAATCGGGTCGATTCTGTTCGGATCTTGTTATAAATTTGCTAAATTAACAATATTGTTGATTATAAGAAATAGTAATATTACTATGCAATTCTGCATTATGTTTGGACAAAAACTAATTGATTGATTTTAAATTCAGGTGATTTTCTTATCGCTTGGGGCGCACGAAAAGAAATTCCTATAATGTTCAAAGAACATTGTGCGTACTTAGAGAGGATAGGGAAAGGATTTTTTAACTTTTGGAGGTAATAATTTGTTGGAAATTCACTTCCATTAGGCAATGAATTCCAGTTCTTTGCCGTTCTATAGACAAACGAGTTCTAATAAAGTGATTGTATGACAGCAGAGATTTCCAAAGAACATCTCCCGTGGACTTTTGAGCTGACAACGCTGTTCTGACCTCGTTGGTCAAGAGGCAGATACCATTAAACATTTCTTTCCTCTTCAAAATTTCTCTCTGGGCATCCGTTTTCAAGATACAGGGGGTCAAAAAATCAAAAATGTTCAGTTTAATTAAACACACTTTACAACACTTAATAAACTTAACAATTTGAAAACCAGTATCGAGACCAACATACTCAAGTACCTGACATTTGATTGAACATATAATTAGACAGTTCTGAGGTGTTTATTTCCAGAAGATTTTTAAACGATTTTTGGAGATACCATCAGGATTTATTTCTTCAGTGGCATAAATGTTTGGGGGGTTAAACCCTTACGAGGCGTTGAATTCTCCTCCACTGACATGTCTAAGGAAATTGATCAAGAGCCCTAAAGTAGTCATTATATTGATGATGAAGTGTGTACGAGGGCTTAACTCCGTAGCTCAAACGGTTCCTGAGATAGTAGCAAAAACAGATTTTTTCGTATTTTTTTGACGTCCTGTATCTTGAAATCGGAGGCCCTGAGAAAAATTTCGAAAGGAAAAAAATTTTTCTTCAAGCCGAGTTGATGTATATATATGAAAAAATTTTTGACCCTCCATAACGAAGATACAGGGTATTATGTGAAATTGTTATATAACTTTGATGGCCGATATTATAGTAATGATTCGTCGTAATCTGCTGAAATTTGGCAGCGATGTATCTCTACTGAAACTATTCAAGATAACATATTATGAAAAAAAATATCTAGGTCCGGACTTGGGAAAATTCCATGTTTCATTGTTATGTCAAAAAAGTTCACTTTGTGACCACTTTCCTCGAAAAATTCCATCAGATTCAGAAAGATCAGACAAAATGCTATAAGAACTGCTCTTCAATTTACACGGCACACTTTGACCGGTTCAATAAAAAAATATGGAACAAGATCGTTCGAATGAATTTTAAATTTCGACCTGGCTGATAACTGCCAACTTTCAACTGGTATCATGTGAATTGATTTTTTCTACATTTTTGTTGAATATTAATTGACAGAAATATAGACGAGAAGAAAAAACACGACATTTTTTCATCGAAATTCCAGATAGATATTATACTTCCTTTCTTTGTTTCGTGGGTTTCATTTGAAGCAGGGTTGGCAAATATCATGATATTTATATATATATCAAAATATCATAATATCGGATATATATCCGATATATATCCGATATATATCAGAAATTTCGATTTTGTTCCTTGGCTGATATGCCAAAAAAAAACACAATATAAAATACCTTTATTTTGGTAAAAACAAAAATCAAACTTCAGTTTAATTCTCGGTTTAATTTGAAATAACAAAACACGAAACAAAAAATAATATTTTTCCGAAAATATGTAATATATGGTAATATAAAAAACTTGTCGATTGATAAATTTTTAAGGATTGCAAAACCGGGAAAGAGGAATATAATCATCATTATCAATATTATCATCTTCACTCAAGGCAACTAATTCCTCATTCGACGAGATCCAGTCCAAGCTTTTGCCTTTTTTATCTGTATTTGGGATTAAACATTTAAAAATAAATACTAGCTTACTGGCTTTTTCGTTGCCTAGACGATTTCTTAATTTAGATTGAACTATTCCAAAACTCGAAAAAAATTCTTTCTAAATCAGCTGTTGCCGCTACTGCTCACATAGTTGTAAGAAGAGTTCTTTTTTGGCCATTTCGAGTCAGGAATTGCAGCCGATTTCCACCAAATCGTTGTGTGCGTGAGGCCTGTTTGTTTGTATTGCTAAACTTGCTGAAGTTGATTCTTTTTCCATAGTTGTCTCTGTTCATGGCATGATGTAAACAAAATAAGTCATAGAAAAAAATCAAGTGCAGCAGGTAGAGCAAGGACAAATGAACACGCCTGATGTACCATGTACCTAACAAGCAGTAAACAAAAACCGGGGATTCCCCGAGTTGTAAGTTATAACCACGAAACGCACTGTTGTCACGTATTCATTTTTAATGCGAAATATCAAGGATTTTTTGCTCCGGTATTTATTTTGTTAAAAAGAATTAAATGATATATATCATGATATATATCAATCAATAAATATCAGATATATATCATGATACATATCATGATATATATCACTTGATATATATCGGCCAACCCTGATTTGAAGTAATGATAAGATATCTAGTAGGCCCTTTTTTCCATTTGTGTGACGAGACGTGGCGTTTGTTGATAATCCAAACTGAAAGGTTGGTCCTAGCCTAGTACTAGGTAGGTACCAACCGATGAAATTACGACATGAGGATTCATGTGCCCATATAATGGTTATTTATCAAATAAGTTATGCCATCACGCATAAATTCAGCTTCATTTTTTTGTTATTGATACACTTCTGCAAGTGATATAAGGATGCATTTGCTCTTTATTCAAAATTCCTAATGTTCATCCTCGTGAAGGTTTTACTGTAACGTATTCTTGGGTCTGGAAATATTCTACTGAACATATCATAGGATTTGGATTTTCGTCTTGTTCAGCATTTATAATATGAAGTGGCATCTAGAGTGCAAGAATATTCCGATTACCAGTGTTTACCTATCAACAAACGCCACGTTACATAAACTAAAAACAGGGTCTACTTTATAACAAATTCATAAAATCGAGTCACGAGTAATCATATACATATATCTAGAAGTTCGGTCAAAAACTAACATGTCAAATCATAAAAAAATCAAAACTACTCTCTTCTGTCAATTTCTATCCAATAAAAATTTACAAAAAATCAATTAACACGAATCCAGTTGGAAGTTGAGAGTTATAGCCAGGTCGAAATTGAAAATTCATTCGAACGATTTTGTTCCATATTTTTTTATTGAACTTTTTTGACATAACAATAAAACATGAAATTTTCTCAAGTCCGGACCTGAATCATTTTTTCATAATATGTTTGTATGTATACTCAACCCCGCACAAGTTTCGACTCATGGGGCGTTTGGTCCCAGTGCTGGGACCAACGAGGTATGCAATTGCAAAAAAAAAATAGTTTCAGTAGAGATACGTCGCTGCCAAATTTCAGCAGATTACGATGAATCATTTCTGTAATATCGGCCATCAAAGTTATGTAGCAATTCCGCATAATACCCTGTATCTTCGTTATGGAGGGTCAAAAAATGTTTTCATATATACAGGGTGGGTTACGGTGGATGGCCTATTAGAAGTATCTGAAGAACGAAAAAACAGAACATTCTGAAAACCAGGATGCTTTGATAATTGAACATTCTCTATTCGTCTAAAATGTTTTCATCGATACAGTGTTGCCACTTCTATCAGAACCAACTACCAACTTCGTTATTTCAAATGGATCACCCTGTATTTTATTGCATTTTCAGATTCTTCCTAAAGAGCTGATTTTATCAATGCATCACACTTGGGGTCTAGCAGGAATGATCACATAGATATAGGGTGTTCAAAATCGAGACTTTTCAATTTAAGGATATTTTTGTGTTGAAACTATTCATTATCAGTCAAAACGGCTTCCATGTCCCTATCTTAACTTCTGATTTACTATCTACTGAGATTCAATTGGAACAGATACAGGATGATCAGAATTCTGAATCACCCTCTGTATTTTTTTCAATTGAATTCCAGTAGATAGAGAATCAAAAGTTGAAACAGGGACATGTACTCCGTTTTGATCAATAATGAATAGTTTCAACACAAAAAAATCCTCCTGGAATCAGCTCCTCAGGAAGAATCTTAAAATGCAATTAAATACAGGGTGTTCCATTTGAAATAACAAAGTTGCTAGTTGTTTCTGATAGAAGTGGCAACACTGTATCGATGAAAACTTCCCAATTTTCAGAATGTTCTGTCTTTTCATACTTCAGATACTTCTAATAGGCCATCCACCGTGACCCACCCTGTATACATCAACTCGTCTTGATTTCCCCTATCAACCATTTGACTATGTGAGTCTTCTCATGAAACACCCTGTATGAATAGCTATTTCCTTCAATTATCGTGATGTTTTGCCACTTTTCACCATTCTCAAAGGCTTCAGCACTGGTCCAATATTGCTATTCGCCAACAGAATCGACCTGAATATATGTACAACATGAATTGCATGCAAATATTTAACAATTGACAATCCAAGTCATACCTTTGGTTTCAGTCCTCGAGAACGTCACCTTAAACAGCAGCTCCACAGCTAAACTCTTTCACAATAGGACAATTGATTTATCAAAAATAACCCTTATCAACTCAGTTAAAGGTACCAGCGGGTCTATGAATAATGTATTGCTATTGCCTGACGGAAAACTGAAGTCAATGCATGGTTCGACGGTGAAGGGAACTGGCGGCACTCCCATCTTGCTGCCTCTCAGTCCACAGAAAGCACCACCAAAAAGTGAGTTTAATTATGGAATAAGGTTTTCCTACTACAACTATGAAAAGTAGAACATTTCTCATAGCTAACTTAGTTTCAAAACCATGTATTGCTGATACTGTGAGAAATATTATTTCTCATTGGCGCTTTTGATGGAAATCGCATTTTCCATCAAATATTATTCCAACAATTTATAATAAATAATATGATATACAGTGTCATTCATAAAGTCGGCATCATATGGGAAAAACTTTTATTAATGTCTTATTTTGGAATTCGAGTTGGACGTTGAGTTTTGCTTCAAAAAATATAAAAAATGGCCTACTCAATCTGGGTCACGTGACTTTCGCAACATGTCAAAAGTGACATTTTTTCAAATTGATCGCTGAAAGTAGGCTTATTTGTTCGAATATCGAAAAAGTTTACTTGAAAAAGTTGTTTCTATTTCAATTTTACACATGGTTTTTGAATTTGATTCTTCTATTTTTAGATTTCCATTTTTTTTTTTTAATTTTTCAAAATTTCTGTAATATTTGAAGAATTGTTAATTTCACGAAACTACTTCATACCAGTAGCTTTTCAATGCTTCTTACTTTCAATTTTCAATTACTTATTATCACTGATTATGGACAGAAATATGAATTTCGTCAGAAAATGATAATACCCGCTTCAAATTCTCTTATGTTTGATGCAAAGTTGATATATCATCAAGCATTTAGAAACGAAATTCATTTAAACTGATCTTTTCAGTACTGAAAAAATAAATTCAAATGAATTTCGTTTCTAAATGCTTGACTCAAACATAACAGCATTTTGATGTTATGTTTGCATCAAACATAACAGAATTTTGAAGCGGAGATTATCATTTTCTGAAGAAAATCATATTTTTGTCGATAATTAGTGATAATTAGTAATTGAAAGTTAGTAGCATGATGGAGCTACTGGTATGAAGTAGTTTTATCGAATTTACAATTTTTCTAATATTACAGAAATTTGGAAATTTTTTAAAAAATATCGAAATCTAAAAAATGGATTAGAAAGATGAAATTCGAGTCACATATGTAAAATTGAAATAGAAACAACTTTTTCAAGTAAACTTTTTCGATATTCGAACAAATAAGCCTACTTTCAGCGATTAATTTGTAAAAATGTAACTTTTTACATGTAGCGAAAGTCACGTGACCCCGATTGAGTAGGCCATTTTTCATCTTTTTTGAAGCAAAACTTGACGTCCAACTCGAATTTCAAAATAAGTCATTAATAAAAGTGTTTCCCATATGATGCTGACTTTATGAATGACACTGTATATACCGAGAAGTGACGATTTTGATAAATACACTGCCAGAGACAGAGATAGCGAAAGTTGGATTTGTTTCCGGAAAATTCAAGAAAAAAATATGAATTGGCATTAACGAAAAATTTATGGAATCTAAAAAAATACAGAAATGAAATCTTTTTCGGAAAGTGTACTTTTTTTAAATACTTTGAGAAACTAGGAAAGGCGTCTACTCTTTGGTCACAATATTCAATGTGGCATAGTGCCACATTATAAAATGAATACCAATAAGCTACATTACTCGGATTCTTTGAATAAGTGCAGTTGTAGAAAAAGTATAGTGTGCAACATGTGGGGAAAAGCACTTTTCCCACTTGTTGCACAATATACTATTTTTCGTCGACCTCACAAAAAATAACATTTTTCTACAAACGTCAAAAAATGACAAGGTTCGCGCATCGGTAACAAATTGCGAAGTGACACTCTTTTTCAGTTTCCTACGGTACCATGATACCTTGCACAAAACAATGCGCGAAGTAAAACAGTTCGCGAAGTACCTACCTCGCGCATTGTTGTGTAAAATATATGAGATATTTATATTTCAACTTCATGGTCCTCAATCGAGCAAACATCCACGAAATCATTTAATTCTGAATGTTCAACAATAACTTTGTTTTATCTCTTGGAGCACACGAAAGGAAATTCCTATTATGTTCGTGGAACATTGTGCGTACCTAGGGAGGATAGGGGGAGGCCTTGTAAGCCAGTTCAACACTATTTTTTATCAAGCTAAGGATATTTTTACTTCAGAACTATATTTTTTGACGTTTGTAGAAAAAAATTTGTTTGCAACTCGAGCGCGAAATACTTTGGTCATCTCGACTATTTTTTTAACTTATTGGCTACGCCTCGTTAAAAAAATCAAAGTAGCATTTCGCGCTCTAGATACAAAAATGACTATTCACGTTCTAATTTCTGAACGAAAAACCGACTATTTCCGATGGCAAGTACAGGGTGATTCACCATAAATGCCCCCCCCCCCTTAGCTCAGTTATTTTTGAACCGATTTCAAAATTTCAAATATCATCTTAAATGAGTTTTGATAAAGTTTTTTCCGCTACATCAGAAAATACAGGGTGCTCGGAACAAACGATCTACAGGGTACTATTTGATTTTTTTAAATGGAACACCCAATTTCTCATTGTATTCTTAGATTCTCCCTGAAGAGCTGATTTGATCAATGCATCACACTTGGGGTCAAGCGGGAATGATTACAGAGATATAGAGTATTCAAAATCGAGATTTTTCAACTTTAGGATTTTTTTGTGACGAACCTATTTATTATCGGTCAAAACGGCTTTCATGTCCGTATCTTAACTTTTGATTTACTATCTACTGACATTTAATAATTGGAACAGATACAGGGTGATCAGAATTCTGAATCTTGAACCACCCTGTAAATGTTCCAATTAAATGTCAGTGGATAGTAAATCAAAATGTTGAGATGGGGACATAGAAGCCGTTTTGACCAATGATGAATAGTTTCGACACAAAAAAATTCTAAAGTTGAAAAATCTCGATTTTGAACACCCAATATCTCTCTATCTATCTCTATCGGTTCAAAAATGAGTGAGCCAGAGGGGGGGACATTTATGGTGAATCACCCTGTACTTTTCGTCCGCAGACACTAACTTTTCGCCGCAAACACTTTTTGTCCACTGCAGTGTTGCCAGTTCTACTGAATTTTCAGTAGATCTCCTGATTTGCATATTGATCTACTGATATACTAAAACATTCCATAATCTACAGAAAAATATTTTGACACATATTCCTCGTCTTGAGGAAAAACAGAAAAAATCTTTCATTTCAAAAACAATACTCTGTATGGCAAAATTTTGTAGATCTGTTTTGGTATTTGAAAAGAACGGAAAAAAATGAATAGAGTGACTCACTTTATACGAGCGCGCATCCGATTTGACAGATGTTTTATCATTAATTTTGGAAACATTCATCTCCATTTTGAGGCATTTTAATTGACCTCGAAATCCAATTTTGGTACATAAAAATGACAATCTTCAAACTTCAATATCATTAGGATCAAATCAGGTGAACTATCGATAGATTTGTTTATTTGACAGAATAACTTGTCAATGATTTAAGAAATTTTCGAGGGCTCATTTTATTTTACAATATTTTTTCATAAGCTGTGGTGAAGAAAGCTGTGAAAAAAATTTTAGAATTCTGACAGTTTCTGATCATGTGTGATATTATTGGTAATGTCATAAGGTTATTAGGTTAAGGCATAATAATTATGAACACTTTGAAATATAACAACACAATACAAGCACCAAAAATTATCTCAAGGTTACCAATAATATCACACTAGTGATTATGAACTGTCAGAATATCAGAATTTTTTATACAGCCTACTTCACCGCAGGTTATGAATTAATAATGTAGAATAAAATGAGCCCTCGAAAATGTCTAATATCGTAGAGAAGTTTTTTTGGCAAATGAGCAAATCTATCGATAGTTCACCTAATTTGACTCTAATGAAGTTGAACTTCCAAGACTGTTATTTTTGCACTAAAATTGGAATTTTAATTACGAGTTCAATAAAAATGCCTCGAAATGGAGCAGAATATCTCCAAAAATAATGATAAAACATCTGTCAAATCGGATGCGCGCTCGTAACAAGTGGGTTACTCTATTAATTTTTTTTGCTCTTTTCAAATATCAAAAGAGATCTAAAAACCTTTGCCATACAGAGTGTTATTTTTGAAATAAAAGAATTTCACTTTTTTCCCTTAAGACAGACCTGGATTCCGATCTCGATTTCCATTCAGTTTTGATAAGTAATACGAGTGGTATATTTCTACCAAGTATGAAAAGATTATACAAAGTGGTTCAAAAATCATGACCAGATAAAGATTTTGCCACAATCAAGATAACGTCCTGTATCTTAGGTATAAATGGCGGTTCTCTATCTGCAGTTATCGTTTGTACATTTAAATCTGAAACACCCTGTTTAATAATCATGCTATAAGATCCACCGTATCTCGATTTTGTGTTGAAGTTATCATTTGTGCCAAACTCAAAAAAATATGGCATTCTTATTCATCATGGTTTCACTTGTGATATGAAAATTTTCTGATACCTTCAATTTATTTTTTTGTACTGTAAAATCAGAGTAATTTTAAGTAATTACGGAATATCCGTATTTCAGTTAATATTCATATATCTGTTTAAACTTTGGTATTTCTTCATAGGAAATAAATATATCACAGCAAAGCGACAGCAGAAAGCAGCTCACATGGTGAAGAAACCATTTTATATGCCCGCCACCAACATCCAAGCACCTTTACCACCTCCAACCAATCTCACCTCTGAAGACATAATGGATTTACCAATCATATTCGCCGACGATAACCAAATCCTCGACACACAGTTGAATACCACGCCTACCAGTAACATTTCCACCGCCACCATACCATCAATGTTATCAAAAAATCCACCACCATTGTCGATCACTCCATCTACAGCAAAATACTTGTTGGTGAATAAGCAACAAGCGAGTCAAGGAAACCTCATGGTCACTCCGAACATAAAGAAACAACAGAGTCCGATGGCATTCAATAAAACGCCCAAATACACGAAAATAATCCTTTCGAAGAAGGCCAGTGCGGAGGAGCCCAGAACGAGGATGCTATCTCCGGAAATCACCATAAAGAAGATCGCCAAGCCGCAGAGTCATAATATAGTGAGGACCGAACCGCCACCTGTCGTGGAACTGATCGATTTGGAGAACGAGATCAGAGCTACGGCAGTGCCGAAACCGTACTTGTCGACGTCGGACATTAAAAATATCAAAATTATCTCCAAGAGTGCGGGAGATACGTTCGGCATGAATTTCTTTACGGGAGAGAGGCCCTCGGGGTCCAAGAGGCCTCCTTCTGTTGTTGAGATTACTGATGACGGAGATCCGGACTACATTCCGCCAAAAAATATCAAGTTACAGTGATTTAGAATTTAGAAGTTCATTTGTTTTGTAATTTATTTCAGTTACTCGAATTGTAAAATATCTGCTGAATATAAGAATATATTCGTTTGACAGTTATTTTAGTAGTCTCATTAATATCTGGATTCTCAAGATGCAAACACCAACTGGGCCCTTCAGCATACCCGTTTCAATGGAAATATCCATTCCCCCATTTAGCAGAGACAAATTCAAAATTTTCTAGCTCCGATATAATTAATATTAATTAACCGTCCAGTTGAGCAACATAATTTTCAACACCTATTTATTTCTTTCAGTTTTTGAATATTACCTTCTCAACTTTGAATAGCATTCCGCATGAATGAAAAAACGTCACTTGAAATTTCAAATTGAATGAATTGCAGAGGGCTATAAAATGATGTTGCAGTCTGCAACTTGCAGCTTTTATTTTGATTCAAATTCTTCATAATCGTCGTTCAATAATAACCCAATAACAGTGAAGACAGATTTTTTAAAACTATTCAGGTCGAAGTCAAGATTATGTAGCATACTATAACAATTCTTCTGATATCAAATTTCAAATGATGGATGATGTTCTTCCATCTTATATGTGTAATATAGATTGTTATACATCGTTCAAAAGATAATTTTGAGTTGAATTCAAAATCTGGATAAAATATGTAGGGTGCCATCATAATAAGAAAGTTGGTCATTTCTTTATATTTTTGGAGTTAGTCACCTTTGTCTGATTTTCATTTTGCTCAAATATAACGCACCTTCTATATTACTATTCTTAGTTATAAATTTGGCAGCCTCGAAATATGTGGTTTTGCTTGAATTGGTTTTTGAGGAATCAGGATTGAAGAATAAAGAGGAACATATCAACAAAATACACCGGCAAAAAAAGCCGGCGACCAAAAAATTTAGTCAAGTTGTTCGCCCTGTAACTTCTTTAGTTCTTGTCGGATTTTGGTGAAATTTTGATCAAATCGTAGATTCATGTTCCGGAATGTGGACCTGAATATGAATTCCCCAAAAAAGCTGATAGCTTGGTCATTATACAGGAAAAAACAAGAGTTACTCATTTACCCTTAACTTCTTAACGCCCTGTGGCTGAAGTGAGTGGTTGAACTCCGCTGCATTATGTCTTGGATTGAAAAGTATTCTTTTCTCATCACAATAGTTTTTGATTCACGTCGATATCTCATTTTTTAGAAAAGATACGAGGGTTTTAAAAAAGTATAGAGTTATTCAAGTTTTATTAACAATAATCAGAACGTAGATACACCTACACAAAAAACCTTAATTACAAAAAACAAACGAAAAGTAGATCTCCTAGATGTATTCAATACCGAGTATGCCCTCCTCGAGCTTGAATTACAGTATTTAATCGCCGTGGCATCGAGTTGATCAGATTTCTCAAGCAGTCTTGAGGAATTGCCTCAAATTCTTCTTGAAGGGCGAATCGTAGCTCTTGAAGAGTCTCTGGCATGCCGGACGTAGACGAATGCGCCTCTGTAGTTCATCCCAAAGATGCTCTATAGCATCAGGTGATCGCAAACAAAAACGTGACTCATCGGTGAAGAGAACCTCTTTCCATTGTCGAAGTGTCCAATTTGCATGTAACCGTGCAAACTGTAGTCGTGTTCTACGATGCCTAGGTAGCAACTGCGGTCTCCTCGATACCAAACCATATTCTCCAAGTCTCTGCCTGATGGTTCTTTCACTAACATCAACACCTCGAACAGCGTGCAATTCATGTTGAAGCTGAACAGCTGTTTTTCTGCGATTCCTGAACGATCTAAGCGCAACATAACGATCATCAACCCTACTTATTGCTCTTCTTCTTCCGGATCCAGCACCCTTTCGAATCTGCCAGTCTCCAGAAAACGATTCCAGACATATTGAACTGCAGTTCGAGGTATTCCTAATGTTCGAGACACATAACGTTGACTGCGACCATTTTGAAGCGAAGCTACCACTTGAGCAACATCCGCAACAGTTAACGCCATTATTATTACCCCAAAACTGTTGTTTTTCTTTTTAACAACAATAATGACATGCCACCGTGAATCACGAACTAAAACAAAAGGTGTTGATTTGTATTATTGATCAACTGTCAAAATCACTCCAGACAATTGTCCAAGCCTGCTATTTTATTTTAAATAATCGAGGGTGACCAGTATTTTTCTGCCGGTAGAAGTGAAGTGTCAATCGACAGCAATTTTCGAAGGAAAGTATACCAAGAAAACAATGTGGAAATAAGCCATATTGATTTTAAGATGTTTTTTTTTAAGTTGTCGATCGATAAGTTTATGTACAGGGTATCCCAATTTGGGCACTTCTGCAGGGTATCTCCCTTATCAGTAAAGATAGAGCATTGCGGTTTTCGCGACAGTGTGCTACTTTTTTATGAAATTAATAATGGCGCAAGCAGAATTGTGGTAGCTCTTCCGGTTGTCTAGATACAGGGTGGAATTGAAAAATATCACCGCCCGTGTCTCAGTTATCTTTGAACTTATCGAAGAAGTTAAAACTTGTTTTTATAGAGTTTTTCTCTTAGAATCCAGTGGCGTAGTTATTTTTTTGCTAGCACCTTTTGTTTTTTAGTTATGGAGCAAACATATGTTTTTTTAAATGGAAAATAATTGTATACAATTATATATTTTTGGAAAGCCCACTTCATGCTCAATGTATATATGAAATAATATACAGGGTGTTCCATTTAAAAAAACATATGTTTGCTACATAACTAGAAAACAAAAGGTGCTAGCAAAAAAAATAACTACGCCACTGGATTCTACGAGGAAAACTCTATAAAAACAAGTTTTAACTTCTTCGATAAGTTCAAAGATAACTGAGACACGGAGGGTGCCTGAAAAGTGATATTTTTCAATTCCACCCTGTATCTCGACAACCGGAAGAGCTATCACAATTCTGCTTGCGCCATTATTAATTTCATAAAAAAGTAGCACACTGTCGCGAAAACCGCAATGCTCTATCTTTACTGATAAGGGAGATACCCCGCAAAAGTGCCCAAATTGGGATACCCTGTACGTTCTGATGATTGTTAATAAAACTTGAATAACTCCATACTTTCTTAAAACCACCGTATCTTTTCTAAACAATGAGATATCGACGTGAATCAAAAACTATTGTGATGAGAAAAGAATACTCTTCAATCCAAGACATAATGAAGTGGAGTTCAACCACTCACTTCAGCCACAGGGCGTTAAGAAGTTATGGGTAAATGAGTAACTCTTGTTTTTCCCTGTATAATGATCAAGCTATCAGCTTTTTTGGGAATTCATATTCAGGTTAACATTCCAGAACATGAATCTACGATTTGTTCAAAATTTCACCAAAATCCGACAAGAACTAAAGAAGTTACAGGGCGAACAACTTGACTAAATTTTTTGGTGGCCGTTTTTTTTTGCCAGTGAGTGTATAACTATTGCCACATGAGAAGGTGTATATGGAGTTATCGAGAGCTGGCGTTTTGTGATGATTTTAAATAACGAATGATTGCATCAAATACTATTTATACACGGAATGATCAATATAATTACAATTTCATTTATGACATATAATTTTCATCTGCTATCCATAACGAACTGCTGAAAAAGAGGTATCACGTGCTCTCGGAAGATCGAACTTCCAGTACCATGAGTAATTTGCAGAATTTCTTTCGCTTTTTCCAAATGCTCAAATGCTGGTTTAGTATCATTTTGAAAATTCAATAATTTTCCTAGCTTCAAATGCAGTAGACCTGTCATTGGATGGATTTTACCGTAATAGTCGCTGAAACGAATAAGAACAAAACGATTGAAAAGGAATATTGTCAGATATATTTATGAACACAAAAAAATTGATATATACAGTGTGACCCACTTCTAATAGAAACACCCCTGTATCTTACGTAATCATTGGGTAAGGGTCCTGAAATTTGCTGGAGCGAGAGATATACCAAAAATGCACTCTATGACCAAGTGGGTCATCTTCAGTGATATACACTGCTTGCCAACAGCCATGGAACCAACCCAATTTCCGGAAAATGATATTAGGAGTCAAAATATGTTGAAAATCACTTCAGATTCGGAATCAGGCCGCCCAATTCACTAACTATTCATATTTTTTCTGGAAAATTAAATTTTGTCGCACTTTTTACGGGAGCACCCCTGTATCTTACGTAATTGACTATCTTTGGACTGTCCCTTTCTCCTGCAAATTTCAAAAGCCTACCTCAATAATTACGTGAGATACGGGGGTGCTTCCATGAGAAGTGAGACAGAATTTAATTTTTCTGAACTGAAAATTTACTAGGAAAACTATGAATAGTTAGTGAATTGTGACTCCTGGTTCCGAATCCGAAGTGATTTTCAACCTATTTTGACTCCTAATATAATTTTCCGGAAATTGGGGTGATTCCATGGCTGTTGACGAGCAGTTTATATCACTGAAGATGACTCCACTTGGTCATAGAGTGCATTTTTGGAATATCTCTCGCTCCAGCAAATTTCAGGATCCTTACCCAACGATTAGGTAAGATACAGGGGTGTTTCCATTAGAAGTGGGTCACACTGTATATAAAGAAATACATTGAGAATGTGATGAAAATATCAACTCTTTCTCGGTTTATTAAAAAAAAAAGAACAAAACTATTTTGTATTGGTATTCAAGCAACTATGAACAACAGGAATAAACGAAACAACCACCAATCATCTATAGAAATTGGAGCGATAAATCGAATGCCAGTGTTGAATGAGCCATAATTGCACAAAATAATTATAGCAAGAAATAAGAATCTTCTGAAGGACAAACAAAGGAAAAAATGTACGCTCATCTCATACTACTATCCTGATTTTCATTGAACGTCCAATAACATTGTAATTCTTTTTCGCTGTTTCAGACCACGTCGTAAGCAGACGCTAAGGTAAACTTTAAAATTCTATATCTCCCAAAATTATTTTTCAGAAATATATAGTTTTGTTTCGTTTCGTTGTTTCATCTTCTATCCACTTCATTTATCGTTACAATCTCGAAAACACTTCGAATACAGTCATGATGAAAAAAGTACTATGAAGGGGCAAAAAGCAAGAAAATGAAGCAGGTTAGAACAAATATTTATTTTTCGTTCACACCATGTATAGAGAGTGTCAAGAAATTACATACCAAGATTTCAGAGGATTTTTATTTTTCATGATCTCCTTTTGGATGTTCAACAGATATAAATCAATGTTCGACGACGTGGCAAATAGCCAGGAAAGTAGTTGTTTTCTGTTGATTATTCAGAATGATATTTTGTGCATAAAAATATGAAGGAGAATGCAAGTTCTCAACTTCAGAAGATTTTGTTTTCAAATTCTTATCATGTGCGTTCAATAGATATAATTCAATGTTCGTCATGGCATATCGCCAGGAAAGTAGTTGTTTTCTGCTAAATAAACCGAGAAAGATTTGAAATTTTCATCACATAGAGAATTCGAATTCTCGATGTATTTCTTCTTCAACAGCTGATATCTCGAAAACGAAAAAAGATATTTGAAATTTGGAAAAAGGTACTTGAATGAGATGTCATTTCCTTCTGGAAAATGTGTTCTCTGCTTGATTTTATCATTTCATATACAGGGTAGGTGAAAAAAATTTTTTTTTTCAAATTGAACCCCCTGTATATTATCGCATATTTCGAAAGAGTTATCTTTCCTGATTTTGAAAATATATACTTTTCATATATTTTATCGAGTGCTTGAAGAAATATCAGCAAAATTAAATATTAATATTTGGTCCAAGTTAGCTATGGTTGAAAAAGAATGAGATGATGAATAAGTGAATTGACATTTGGTCAACATTTCAGTGACATAAGTGGGCAAAATTTCGACAATTTTTTCACGATGCCATATCCACTGGAACAAAGAAGAGATATTTTGGAGTGCTATTTTTCAGTTAATAAAAATCTTGCTGAAACACTTCATAAGTTTATGAGGAGTTATTCAGGCAAGAGATTACCAAGTAAGAATTATGTAAAGTATTTGGCTGCTAAATTTGACAGAACTTTCAGTTTGTCGAATATCAAGAAAATAGTTTGAAGGCAAGACAACGAAGACGAGGAACTTCTTGTAATCCAGTATTTTGTTGAGGATCCTTCACGGTCAATAAGAAATGCAGTGAGAGAGTTTGGTTTCAGCTATTATTTTGTTCAACATACCTTAAGGAAATATAAATATAGGGATTTCAGAATCAGACCATGCCACAAACTCAATTATGATGATAATGAGAAGCGGATTGAATTTTGTCTTGTCATATCTGAAAGATTAAATTTAAGTAAGTATTAGTGTAAGTGTTTCAGCAAGATTTTTATTAACTGAAAAATAGCACTCCAAAATATCTCTTCTTTGTTCCAGTGGATATGGCATCGTGAGAAAATTGTCGAAATTTTGCGCACTTATGTCACTGGAATGTTGGCCAAATGTCAATTCACTTATTCATCATCTCATTCTATTTCAACCATAGCTAACTTGGACCAAATATTAATATTTAATTTTGCTGATATTTCGTCAAGCCCTCGATAGAATATATGAAAAGTATATATCTTCGAAATCAGGAAAGATAGCTCTTCCGAAATATGCGATAATATACAGGGGGTTCCATTTGAAAAAATTTTTTTTTCACGAACCCTGTATATGAAATGATAAAATCAAGCAGAGAACACATTTTCTAGAAGGAAATGACATCTCATTCAAGTACCTTTTTCCAAATTTCAAATATCTATTTTCGTTTTCGAGATATCAGCTGTTGAAGTCGAGAAATCCTCAATCACCCTGTACAGGGCGACTCAAAACATATTTTTTTGTCAAATGAAATTACCCATATATTGACGGGCTTCATCGAATTAGGAAAAAAAAACAGATAATTTTATTTGAAAAATTTTTGTTAGTTTATATAAAGTGAGCACAGATTGAGAAAAATCGTGAAAAATTATTCCAGAAAAGTTTTTGAATGAACAAAATATGTTGAGAATTACAAGGATGAAGGAAGGATGACACAGTGTACCTTATAATCAACTAACCTATGCAGTATCATTTTTGTTTTGATAATAGTTCACTTATGCAAAAATAAATACACTTCAAAATCACAGGAATGAAAATCCCCATTATGTTAGTGGAACATCATGTGAAACTTGGGTTAGTAGCAAAAGTAAACTAAATACTCACTAAAAACTTTTTATCAACTCTAAACCATGTTTAGTCGCTTGATCAAACTTTTGGAATTCTATTGAGCTATCAAATGCCAAATCCAACATCTTCACGTGTTTCACATTGTATCTGTACAAAGCACCTTTGTGTTTATTTAGACATACATTACAAACATCCAGATCTACTTTGTTCTGTTAAGGAACCTGCTATTAACAAATAATGTCCTTAGGTCAAATTAGGTGATTTGTTCCAAAATGTTATTGCATTTACTTTTTCACTCATCACATAATCTGACCAATCACAAGCCAGAGACAACATGTGCTTATCGCAGAAACAGAGCTGTCTTTCAATTCTGATTGGTCGATCAACGTTGATGTTTTCAACCAAGGAACCATGAATAGTGAAGCAAAATCTGTCAGTTTGGCATAAAATGATTATGGCTTTACTTGGCAGAATGAATCATTTACTTTTCATGCCTCGTGAACGTGAAATAGTCTATCAAAATACTCGGCAACACAATTTCGTGAACAATGAAGCGACAGAATTATCTGTAATATTCAGAACATCGCGATATTTTTTTTTTCATGTTCTGGTTCCCACGAAGAGGGATATCCTGTAATGTTCAGAGAACATCGTGAGAACTAAGGGAAATGAGGTAGGAATTGGTGTTCTTCTTCTGGAGGTTATATGCCTCGGGAAACTCCTCCCTTGGCAATGTGTTCCAGAGCCTCGCTGTTCTTTGGATGAACGAGTCTTTGGAAAGAGATGTTCTGCAGGTCTTCAAAGTGACCACGAAGGGGTGCGAAACCTCAACAACCGCAGGGACTGCCAAGGGAGGAACAATTGTTGATATTTCAGAAGAGCATCGTCCATGAAAATACTTATAAAATAGAGCCAGATCGCCAACTTTTCTTCGGTGTTCCCGAGAAGTGAGTGAGTTTGTGAGCAAGGCATCACCCATGACACGAATTGTCCTTTTTTGGACAGAATCCAACAGTTTCAGGGTATGTTGGGGTGCTGCACCCCAAATATGGGAACAGTATTCCAGGACAGGTCGGATCTGTGCCTTATAGATCATAAGCAGCCGACTGGAAGTGAAATAGCTCCTGGCCCGAAACAGAAAACCAAGTTTTTGGGATGCCCTTCCAGCAATTGATCACACGTGATTTTCCCAAGAAAGGTTATTGCTGCTAATAACCAAGCATCGAAATGGATGTCTTCAAAGGTATGGTTACTCCTGACAAGCTTATGTTGGGCACAGTGAGATGGGCTTTTCTAGAGAAAAGGCATGCTTGTGTTTTGTTTGCATTGAAATCTACCAACTTATTGGATCCCCATTTGAGAATTGTTGCCAAGTGCATATTTATGTTGTCTGCATTTCACCCTCGTTCGTTTCTGATTTGCCTGGCTGGTATTGGAGCCCTGGAAGAGAAGGCGGTATGGAGGGTACTATCATCCGCGAAGCTGTGTACTGGACATTAAGTGGCTACCAACAAATCGTTGTTAAGGAGTAGAAATAGTGTTGGTGCTAGAATTGATCCTTGCGGAACACCAGCATTTATGGTAAGAGAGTCAGATTAAACTCCGTCGACCACTACATGGAGAGACCTGTTTGAGAGAAAACTAGCTAGCAGAGAACATAGCTGGGGAGGCAAGCCATAAGATGGAAGCTTGGCGAGGAGTCCGTGGTGCCAGACTCGATCGAATGACTTGGAGATATCAAGTGCCACGGCTAAGGTTTCACCATATTTTTCAATAGATTGCTGCCATATATGTGAGACAAAAGCGAGCAGGTCACCAGTTGTTCCAGGTATTTCATGAGCTCGATATTGATAGCAGTGCGATCGGTCTGTAGTTGCTAGGTAGGGTCTTTTTGCCTTTTTCAGGAACTGGTTGTACTCTTGCAATTTTCCAGTTGAACGGGAATATCCCCAATTTGTAAAAGTAGTTGAACAACTTGCAGAGAACAGGTGTCAGTTCGGGAGCACATTTCTTGAGAACAATCGGTGGGATTCCGTCGGAGACATAAGCTTTGTTGGTGTTGAGACCCAATAAAATCTTCCTCATAGTACGTTGGCGAAAGGTGATCTCGGACATATGACTGTCGATTGGCGTTATGTTTGGAGGTTATTTTCCCGATGAATCCAGAGTAGAATACCCAGCAAATAAATGCGCAAAAATGTTTGCTTTCTCCTGGGCTGTTGTGGCTAGTGTTCCATCTTCCTTGGTTAGAAGAGGAAACGAGCTGGAAGTGAAGTTTCTCCCTACAGCTTTGGCGAAGGACCAAAATGAACGGGATCCGTTAGGACATTCAACAAGTTTTGATCTTATTTTGGCAATATGAGCATCCTTTGATGATCGAATTGTCTCAGGGCCCGGATTTTTGTGCCATCGATGGAATACTGCCTGTTTGGAAGCAAAAGCTCTAAAGCAGTCCCTACTGAACCAGGCCTTATCGGAAGATGTTCTTCTTTAGTCCCATAAATGAAGGGAAAAAGTTAACATTAATCACGCACTATTTTCATCTTCCGGTTGGAAGTAGCTTTTGGTACCTCATTAAACATGAGACAAAGTTTGACTGGAAAACGCGTGCGATGGCGGAGAAAATGGCCCCAAAAGACCAGAAAAATAGGTTTTCAGCCAATATCTTCTAAAATATGGCAGTTAGAGATTTTCGGTTCAGATAAAAATTGAAGTTCAGTTAATTTTCTACAAAAATGGTCCTTATCATTTTTTCGAAAATTTGCCCGGTTTCGAGAAAAAACGGCACGAAGCGAATAATGAGCTTCTGTTGTATGCCGGAGAGCGCAGTCCGTGTATTTACACATCGGCGGGGGGACAAATTATTCAATAACTTTGTTAAAAATGCATATTTTCTCATGATTCAAAGTTCATGTGAATGAGGAATTCTGCTGCTATCATACCCTGTGAATTGAGTCACGCTTGACTCTTTTTGGCCATATCGGAACATGGGTCAAACTTTCTGCTCCCGGTCAATTTTGACCTCGCCAGGAATTTGTTCCTTTTTTTTTGTATTGCACTACTTTACTCAAAATTGTCTTGATTATATGTCCTCATAAGGTCCTTTGTCATCCCTGAAATTTGTATACCCTAATTTTTTTTAATTTTCATTTAATCAATTGAAAATGTATACATGATCCGATTGGTTTCTATGATACATCATTTGAAAGCTAAGAAGGTCTACTTCTCGATTGTGCAATTACTTTTTTAGACGAAGTCGTCCATTTTCCAATAAAATTAGAAAAAGCGGGGTCAAGGAAAAAACGCACTTTTTTTTCGGTGGTTTTTTTCTCCGTGCTCTTTATTTCTAACATTTTAACACCTTAACTAGTGTAACGGGGAAATTGCCACCTTTCCATCGATGTATATAAGTCATACCTTTGATATCCCGGGAAAAAACCAGTATATCTAAATGTACACGCTATAATTTATTACTTTCGTTCCTCCGTCGTTCGCCGCGTGTGTGCTCTACGTGGCGCTCGGGTCGTCTGCTACAAACCATGCGGCCACGCAGGGTATGATAGCAGCAGAATTCCTCTTTCACATGAACTTTGAATCATGAGAAAATATGCATTTTTAACAAAGTTATTGAATAATTTGTCCCCCCGCCGATGTGCTCTTCGGCATACAACAGAAGCTCATTATTCGAGGTGCGTTTCGTGCCGTTTTTCTCGAAACCGGGCTAATTTTCAGAAAAATGATAAGGACCCATTTTTGTCGAAAATTAACTGAACCTCAATTTTTATCTGAACCGAAAATCTCTAACTACCATATTTTAGGAGATATTGGCTGAAAACCTATTTTCCTGGTTTTTTGGGGCCATTCTCTCCGCCATCGCACGCGTTTTCCAATCAAACTTTGTCTCATGTTTAATGAGGTACCAAAAGCTACTTCCAACCGGAAGATGAAAATAGTGCGTAATTAACGTTAACTTTGCCTTTTTTCCTCCTTCATTTATTGGACTACTTGCAGTGTTCGGTATGTAGGTTTGCATGATGATTTCAGAAATTGTCTTAGCACATCGTGTTGAATCTGCTAAAGGAGAAACAAGCTCTCTTCCATGGAAACGCGGAAAAAAACATACGAAGACCTTCCCAGTCGGCCAAATTGTAATGCCACATGAGACGGGTAGGAATTGTGGTGCGGGATGGTACATGAAAAGAGCAGGTTGTGGAGATGAGGGTGTGGTCAGAGTAAACTTATGATATCATTTCAATATTATAAACCTGATGTCTCACTAATAGTCAGTGACACCCGTTTAAATTGTTCAGCAGATTAGTTATAAAATTTCGAAAAAAAGGATACATGTTTTTTCTTTCATATTATCCAGGTGCATATTCGTTATGTCAATAACCTCTTTGAAGTTTTCTATGAACTCTTTTGTTATAACTTCATTACACTTTTGGCACGTTTGACCAGGTGCCATGTTCATACTGTCTATACAATTATCACACTTCAGATTGGGACAAGCAGCACCTGTCATTTCAATGATTGGCTCAGGTTCCAGGCATTTCGGACATTGGCACAAAAAATAATATGTCTTTTCTAGTTCTGCCTGCCTTTCACTTTTCAGGGCCATGACATCTATGTAACTGATGAATATCTAAAAAAAAACAATGATATGAGGGCATTTTATAAATTCACTATCAGAATATACAGGGTGTCTCATAGGTCATGGATCAAAATAAGTGGGGTGGTAGGGAGGGGGTCATTTTTATCAAACTAACGGTATATGTGGTTGTCAAATTGTTGATGGTTTAAAAGTTATTAATTTTTTCTGAAAAACGCGACCCATTTCAAAAAAATTAATAACAAAAAGACTGTTTTGAATAACCCCATATGGTAAACCATTTCGGAAACTGTATTAAATAGGCCAACTGTTTTCTTATAATTGGTTATCTTTCTGGGGTAGTTTCCAAATCTGCCTGCGGCATTTAAAAATCAACATAAATATTTCATTCAATGACAAAACTCAAGAAAGACAACATTTTTCCCAAGTAATTGTAAAGAAGTAACACATGTCTCACAATTATTTATGGGGAAAGGTGCATCCATGTGAATGAAATTTGTTAAAGAAAAAAATCACAAATGTTTTATTGTAATTAATTTTTTTTATAGAAAAGAAAAAAAAGCTCTTGAACCATCAACAATTGACTTTCATGACAAAGGAGGCTGAATGATATGAGATTTATTGTGAAAAACAACTCTCTACTCACCCAAATCAATTGCTTTAATGACATTCTGTTTACCAGTTAACCTGAATTTAATACTTGAAGAGATGTGCTTCTTTGATTTGCAGTGTCTATCCAATCCGCGAGGCAAATTTTTCAAATCATTATATCCTAATCGCGCCAACATGATGACTTATCGGTTGAAAATAATACGCAGTACCAACAAAATAGCTTATTCCTTACCTCAGATCCCATCAACCAGATATATTTTGTATAATTATCAGAATTGAACGAACGATTTTGTTCGTTACCTGTTACAATCAGAATTTTTAATTCCGGTGTCGGAAGTTTGTTTTTCACAATCAATTTATCTTCATAAGACAAAGCACTGAATGGGTTCACCAGAAAGTATTACTACCACTAAATCGCAATCGTTTTTCAGAAATTTATAGAGCCCCTAACCAGTAACCTAACATAAACATAAACAATGCATTGGCGCTAGATTGTCCGCAATTCGCGACGCGACACGACAAAAACAGTGTATTCGGGCGTATTCGGGCATTTGCATTGCGCGCGTGGGTTTCGATTTGTGAAGGAGTCTAGCCTCCTATAGATGTTGCCCAAGTTGAATATTTTAGGCATGATTTGCAGACTTCAACGTGTGATGTGTGGGCAAGCACTGTTGCCAATTCAAAAATATCTACCTAAAAACAGGAAATAAAATCAAAATCCTCGTATTTTGGTGCCCTTTCAATGAGAAAGTATAGATTATATCAGTTTAAGGAAAATCTCTGAGGAGGCTCAGCCTCCGTTGCCTCCTCTGAGGAGCCGCCACTGCGGCACATACACGGTTAGTTTGATACCATCCCACTTCTTTTTATCCATGACTTATGGGACACCCTGTATATAGTAACGGAACTAGTAAAACAAGTTTATTTGAACATTGGTCCAGAAATGGCCCCCTTGGGGCATCTAGAGCCTGAGATGATAGTTGTTTGTAAATATTTTCGAAACCCTGTGTGATAAAATAATCAAATTTTGTACATTGCTCAACTTTTTATGCCCAATTTGAAAATGTTTAGAATCTGCCGGAATTTTGATCAGAAGCATAGGAAATAGGTGGGACTAGAGGCACTTTTTCCTCCAACTTCTTTGTTTATAAAATTTTCGGCAGTTTGACCAGGAAATATGAGAATTTCATATTTTTTACACTCTCGTTTAGTTTCGATAGCACTCACCATTTTCGAGATAAATCGATTTCAAAATTCTGCTGCGTATCAATAATAGTAACTTTTCTTGAAAGTACCTTATTATTTTTCTTCTTTTTTTTTATTGAAACCCCATATTTTGAATCAAACAAGGGTAGATGTTAAAAGATGGGGTATTTTCCATCAAACCATAATTTTTCGGAAAATTCGGTATCCTATCAAGGAGAAAGCCCTATTCATAAAAGGAAGTTGAATTTTAAAATCGATTTATCTTGAAAATAGTGAATGCTATCTGGCACGGTTGACTAGCCTAATCTTCCAGTTACGTGTCAGAGCAATATGACGATATGTTAACGTTTTACCAAATATTTTTTATAATTTTAACTGAAAGATTGGGCTAGCCAACTGTGAAAACCAAATAGAAATCAATTATGGGATCCATGAATAATTCGATTCTAAATTTAGCCTATATTTTGTACCACGAAGTTTACTTTGTTCATCAGTTTCCTTATTTCCTCTGTGGAAAAGACATCACATTCTACTGATCTAAGTTAGTGGCAGAGCGTAAATATTTCGCCCCCCTCTAAAGATAATATCCGATGGACCAGTGTAAAACTCAACATGCAGATTAGAATACTAGTAGTGCAAGCACCACATGAGTTTTACACTGGTCCACCGGAAGTTATCTTTTGACGAGGGTGAAATATTCTTGGAAATAATGACGCTCTGCCATACTGACTTAGGATCAGTTTGAATCGCGGCACGTTTGGATATTCGCAAATGGGACATTTTTTCCTTTAATTTGCCATTAGTTTCAACTCATTATCACATGACGGAAGTATGTCCGGAATAATAGCAACAATTAAATCGCTGTGTCGTGGATTTGGCTCAGACTGAGGGGTGACACAGATAGGTTTTTGAGATCTACCATCCCTAACAACACAGGGATATCCTAGGTACGTCCCTTTTTTGTCCCGCGGTACATGGACATAATTAGGACATCCAGGGGATGCCCCGCAATGGTTTTCCAGTGGACATCCCGTCCGGTACATCCCTAGGTTATCCTATTCGTGTCCCTGGAATATCTGATATCCATTCACATCAAAGTCATTGAATTTCATCAAAAAATTGAGTTGAATTTTCTTGAAAATGTTTGTTTTTCTTCCGGGAAATAATTGTAATGAAAATAAGGAATATAGAGAGAAATGACCATTTTTCGCAAACAGAAATCGTAAATGCATAATGCCCATCATTTCTAAACACCCAAGAATGATAATAATCATACCCAAATCCTAACAAAATCTGTTAAGTACATAAATCTTCAGAAGGCATATTAGCCAATAGAGTAAGGTGCGTGCCTGATAAGCTAAAAGTTCCGGGTTCAATCCCAACTCGACCTACATTTTTTTCCTTTTGTCGAAGGGATGTCCCTGGAATATCCTTGGGACGTCCTAGGGATATGTGTTCTTCGTACTTGGTACATCCCAGGGATGTACCAGAAGGACATCCCTTGGTTCCTTTTTTGTCGGCCAGCGGATGTCCCTGGAACGTCCCTATTCTGTACTTTGTCCCGACAAAGGCTATCCATGGGATGTCCTAGTATAAAATTAGAGACGTCCCTGGGAAGTCCCTAGGATATACTTGTGTTGTTAGGGATTCAATTGGAATCGGAAGGCATAATCCTCATCTCGTTATCAAATCGTGAAATCGAGTGGAAATTTCCGTACAGAAAAGTGCAATTGTACTATCATTCTGCTCAGGATAGTGATTGGCACAGGTGCCGTTCGATTAAGTACACTGTTTTACCTACGGCCACTATAGGGAGTAGAAAAGAAAACACGAAATACAGCCTCAGTAAGAAGCTCTTTACGCTCAGTAAGCACATCGCACAGTTTTCGTTTATTCCCGCCAATGTAGGTATGTCATGATCGCGTAATCGCCGTAAACAGCAGATGATATAACTGTCAAGAATTATAATTCAGACTGTTTGTCCAAACTTTTTTGATGTACTATATGGCAGTAGGTAAAGTATAGTACCTCACTAAACATGATACATAACAAAAATATTTTTCAGTTATAAGTTTTGTGATATTGTTCAATTAACATTGCGATAATGTCCTTCTGAAATATCCAACATAATATTATGAAGTAAAACGTTTATGAGACGTTGCATCAATATTGAAATCAATATCATTAGATAATATTGTGATATGTTGATTTTGGGTTCATCAGATATATCTCAGACAGAGTTGCTATGTTATTTGTGCAACGCTTTTGTTTCACCACCTTATAACGTAGCTTACATGTATAGAGGATACAAGGGGATAATATTTTTCCTTCTACGGCAAAGTAACCTTGTCAACTGTCAAAAGTCAATTCAATTTCATTTCAGCCATTTTGTTTGTTGTCTATTATGGTGAACAGGTCAAACAGTGTGATCAGTGAAAATATTGATAGTTATCAAAGTAAGTTAAGAACTAAACAAGTCTTGGACTCAAATAAATTCGAAAGAAAATATGAATTGCTCATGATACCTACTCAGATTCCAGGTTTGCTCTGCTGGAATATAGAAATGCAACCAATCTGTATCTGCAATTCATAATATGTGAATACGGATTGAGTTATATATCATAGCGAGAAGAAGAACATAGAATGGACTCTCAAAATAGGCCAGGAAACTTCCAAAAACTCGTATTGGTATATATTTACCTTTTACTTTTCAGAATTTCAGTAAGAGATCACTGGATTATGCAGAAATCATATAGCTAAGCTAGGTATGACTGGATTTATGAAGCAGAATAACTAAAATGATACATAGAAAGATAGTAGTTAGTCTCAAAATATCACTGTGTAACTGGATCATAATTATAGTCTTTCAGGAGTAAGGTAAGAGCAATTCATATTCAGGGATAGATCACCTTCTCTGTCTTTTGTGAAGATCATTTAGATGATTGTCTTTATGATTCCAGAGAAAATAGACATAATCTAAAAACTCTCAGAAAATAATTAGAATGTTAATAGTAAAGGAGCTGCACCGGTTCCAGAATCAAAACGTCACTTTTCCCATGTTAATCTCCATAAGAAAAGTTAAGGTTCATTCTGCAATTTTTGGTTCCTTTCAAGGTCATCCAACGAGCGACGCGAGAGATCCGTTCTAGAGATAACGGCGCGCATTTCGATACATTTTTCAATCAATAATGGCTATATACAGGGTGTATGAGTTG